TTCCGGCAAGGAAATCACATGATTATTCTGACGTCATCGTTTTCGAAAAGCTCTAGCTGTTTTCAAAATGTTTTCCGTCCACACCAATCAAACGAAAAAAGTCAAAAAATGGACCTTTTTTTACTGATCTCACGCCTTTCCGATTTTTTCATTCAAGCAAAAAGTAAGCCTTACCCCTCGTTTAATTTCATAGTCAATCCGTAGTCAATCCGTCCTGTACTTTGATACCATGACAAAGCAAAGTATAGAAAGTTATTTTTTATCTGTCAAGGTGACAAATTGATCTTGAAAAATTGCCAAAACGCATTGAGGAACACCCGGGAGGCACCTTGCAATTGTTTTACACGTCAAACTAACGCGAATCGAATTCTTATGGAATGCTTCTCTAGACCAGAAAAATCGGAGTCAAAAAGTTAAATCTGTACCGAAATTTTATGTTATCGCATGCACAAACTAAAAAGATATCGATTACACCTAAAACTGAAAGAAAGATTTAAATAGTGCTGTTACGTAACTCGAGAAAGACGAGAAATATTTTTTCAAATAAGGTTTATATTCCGATGGTAAAATTCCGGCAAAATCAAACGAATGTACTTTCAATGCTGAATTTCATACCTTTTCCTGGCCTAGAACTAAGAACATAGCATAGTCAATCGATAGGAAGTTTTCTCGATCTTGGTTTTAAATCTGATTGATCCGGAAGAGACATAACAATTTTTTACTGACAAATTAAAGAAAACATTATTACCAATAATTACTGGTGTCTTGATCCCGTTCTGTGAAGGCGGTGGGCTTGTCGTTGGCTTATTCCACAACCACAATCCCTCACCACTATGGAGAAGGCAGATCAGCGCTACGGCTTGAAGAAAATCCCTTCCCTGCATTTTGAACGCGAATGAATGTTGATTGATTGTGGCTTATGTGACACAGCTTAGGTGTAATAAATACACTCCGGAAAAGACAAGCGACCTCTTGAATTCTGCTCAAACCAATCACAGATTAGAGATATATTCAGCAATATCCAACAAAAGATGCGAGGGGAATGGCACTACTAGGTGATTCGGTAAAGTCGACAAGCACTTTCAAATACCGCTGGGTTGAAATATTCTTTCTGTATTTTGTGTATCTTAGGGGTATTATTTTAAAACAATGTTGCCATTAATGATTCTTTTATCATACAGCTGCTTACATCTTTTTATTATTTTTTCTGCACAACTTAACAATAAAGATCCTATGTCAAACAGGTGAAGTTAAACACTCTTTTCAATAACTTGTATGAATATTAGATTCCAGCTTGCAAGTATTTACAGATTGAAATCACAAAAGACATTCCGCTTATAGTGCATTGTTTGGAATCGAGTCGACTGGTCAGAGCACCTTTGTATTTTATAACAAACGACACTATCAAAACTCGATCCTCCACATGAAACTAGAAAAGAAAGCAATAAAACGGTGTAGGATGCTGGAAAAATTGAGAACAGCTTGGAGATCAGGTTCAATTTCCGTCGCTTCCGGTCTACGTTCCTTCGAGGCGCAAAAATCATTTATCGAGCATGCGCACAACCCCAGGGGAGTACTTTACCCATGTTTGGGTACAGGGGCTACCTAGTGTTAGAAAAACCCAACCTTGTTTAGGTCAAAGAAAACCTAAAGTGCCTACCCCGAGGTGGTCAACAACTCCTTTCCCATCACTTTTTTGGGATACAGGATTGGATGTAATCAGAGGATACCTATTACAACTACTGTCTTGTCCTGAAAATTATCTGAGTTTGACTGATGACCATTAAAAGATCTCGCAAACGTCTCCGATCATGGGTTACTGAACTCTACCTTATACTTTGTTTATAATAGGTTCAGACCCTGCTTACGACAGACGAATAAAATTATACACCCTGTTCA